GCTAATGAGATTCAAAAGGACTTTGCAGACTGTTTGAAAGTAGAAGGGCGGAAGAAATGTATGAGGTCCAAGAGGAGTACTTGAAGGGACTAAAGCGCCATTGTCCTAGGTAAGCAATACTTTTAATAGAAATGGCTGATACTTTCCGGACAGACCTCGACATACCCAGGACCAAACCCAGTGCCTCTAGGAATACGGAGGATCCTACACATGAACCATCATGGCAGTCGACAGTTAAGAAGAAACCCAGAAATTCAAGGCGTTGGTTTGGGTCAATGAGCCAGAAACCAAGAACGATAGAATGTGAAGGGCTGAAAGGAGTTCAGAGGTTGCTGTAAGTGAGGTGAAGTCAAACCCAAAGGCGTATATATGCAAAGTTCGAAATTAAAAAGGCGAGTAGGAGTATCACACGCAGGCTTGAGGAAGGTAGTTACGCAGATTCTGACCAGGATACAGCTGAGGCATTGAACAGCTTCTTTTCCTCGGTGTTCACAAGAGAGGATGCGATTAACCTTCCTGCGTTTAACCCTTTAGGTGCGTAATTAAATTTCGCGCCGGTTCCTGAAAAGTGTCAATTATCCTGCCAAAAATGAATTTCATATAATCACATTTTCTATATGTTTTTCTTAGAGAACTTTTAGTATATTTTCCAAATCTGGAACAAAAATTCACATATGTGTGCAAATTTTAAAGAAAAAATGACATTTATACCCAAAAATGCAGGAAATTGGTATCCATCAATGTCTGGTATATGGCAAATATATTTAATCAATTTGGTTACTAAACAGCAAATTTAGATATGTATTACATATTCAGATAATATCAAACAAAATAGTACAAAAATAAGCTATATTGCATTCAGGAAATACTCCTATACCTCAATACATAATATGTCCGCATGTCATCTCATTTGGGGAAGTTTTTTCAAGGCCGTGGGATATCCCCGCTTGTCGCATTTAATTAATATAATATTTTGGGCGGGTTTACCCGCATGCCGCATCCAAAGGGTTAAGGACAGACGGTTCGACACAGGACTGACCCACATTGAGTTCACAGAAGACGGTATTAGAAATAAACTGTCCTGGCTAAAGGTCCATAAGAGTCCCGGCCCTGACATGGTGCATCCTAGAGTGCTAAAAGAGTTGAGCAACGAGCTTGCCGAGCCCCTGAAGATCCTGTTTTGTAAATGCCTAGATGAACAAAAGGTCCCCAGTGAATGGAAAGTGGCTTATGTGAGTCTATCTTCAAGAAGGGCGATCGTCACTTCACGAACAACTATAGACCGGTAAGCCTGACCAGCTTAATATGTTAAGTACTTGAGAGTATTATCAGAGATGCCGCAATGGAACATCTACTACGAAACAACCTTGTAAAGGATTGCCAACACTGTTTTATGACGGGGCGCTCCTGCTTAACACAATTGCTCAAGGTATTGGATATTTGGGCCCATATTCTGGAATGGGGTGGTAATATCGACAATATTTACCTAGATTTTGCCAAGGCTTTTGACAGTGTACCCCATGAAAGGATGAAAATTAAACTGGAAGGGTACGAAATTCGAGGAAATTTCCTAGCGTGGATAGAAGACTTTCTACATGACTGCAAGCAGTGTGTGGTGATTAATGGCAAGAAATCATCATCCGTACCTGTCACAAGCGGGGTACCACAGGACAGTGTATTGGGCCCACTGTTGTTTGTTTGTTTCATAAATGACATGCCTGACGTTGTACACTCCTCCATACAAATGTTTGCCGATGACGCCAAATTATTTCGGGAAATCAAGAACCAAGCGGACTGTGAAGAGCTGCACAAGGACCTCTGTGGGCTCCAAGAATGGTCGAAGAAATGGCTGCTGAGATTCAATGTCACGAAGTGTAAGAGGATGCACCTGGGGTGTACCAACGGTAAGGAGGCGTATCTTATGTCTCAACGGGATGAAGAAACTGCACTATTTGAGACTGAATGTGAGAAGGACCTAGGTGTGTATGTTGACAATGAGCTTAAGTTCTCGGACCATTGCGAGAAGAAGGTAAATCAGGCAAATAAATTATTGGGTCTTATAAGAAGGTTGTTCAGATATCTAGACGGTCCGTCCCTCGTAACAATCTGCAAGAGTGAAGTGCTTCCCCATCTGGAGTACTGTCACCTCATCTGGTCCCCGAGATATGCTAGGGAATGTCAGTTGGTTGAAAATGTTCAAAGGAGGGCCACCAGACTGGTGCCTGTCCTTCGGCACCTCAGCTACCCTGAGAGATTTGAGCACCTGAACTTGCCTAGCTACAGACGGGCAAGGGGTGACCTAATAGAGGTGTATAAGCATCTCAAGGGGCACTACTCAGTCGAGTGTCCTTACTTGGAGATGGCGGACACTCGCCCCACAAGGGATCACAGCTCAAGATTGAAGAAGCCCCAAGTCCAGAAAACTGTGAGGGCAAACTTTTTCGGAGTGAGGGTTGAAAACTCTTGGAACAATCTACCAGAAAGTGTTGTGACGGCACAGAGTGTGAGCTCTTTCAAGACAAGACTTGACCAACACTGGAGCGGGTTCAGGTACATTTAGGAGCCGGTGCATGCCCAGTACTTGCCAACAGTGTGTAACAGAGACGTGACCGATCGCCCAAGCAGCTAACGAGCCAATCTTTTGGTGAAGAGGATAAAAGAAAAGGAAAAGTAATCAGAGATGTGACCGATCGCCCAAGCGGCTAACGAGCCGATCAGTGGTGAAGAGGATAAAAGTAAGTAAAATTAAAGGCATAATTCAGACTATCTGTATTGTCAAGATCCTCTTCTATCTGTTAATTTAGGTAAGTTTTGGTTTGGTAAAGTTAGGTTTACACACTAGGGGATCCATAGGGGTGGAGCCCCCTGGATAGGTTAGGTTAGGTCAGGTCCTTGTTTTAGGGGTTAGGTTAAGTTAGACAGATAACAATTATTGGGCAAATATTGATGACTAGCCCGCTGATGCATTATTTGTTTTGGTGTTTATTTTCTTATTATATTTTCATCAGTGAGTTCTGATATGACAATCATTTCTTTGGAAAATGATTCGTTTGGTAGATAATTAGGAACCTAAGTACACACTACTCTGTCTTCTCGGTGGTATTGTAGCAGTGATGCTCCATCCCGGATGTAAACAGCCTATCACCAATCGACGCCAATGTATGGTTCTAAGCTGCACATGCTCTCATGTAAAAAAAAAAACGTAAAAATTAGGAAATTATTGACTACTGACCTGCTGCAAATTTTTCACACAAAACATTTTTAAAAATGCCACAGTTTCACTGTGTTTTATAGTGGACACTGTTGTAGCTTAGGCAAATGTGTAAAAAATTGGTTATGTGTATATTAAACCTCACCATTTCCTCTAATATGTCATGGAAGCGACACATCCACAACACTGCTAATGCTGCCTCCCAAAAGCTGGGAATGCTGTACAGATGCCATAGCTACTTCACTCCTGAGCAGTTGCTTAAAGTATAAAAGGGAATCATTCGTCCTAACTTGGAATATTGCTCTCATATCTGGGGTGGCTCTTCTTCTGTCCAACTGTTAGATAGGGTGGAATCAAAGGCATTTCGTCTTCCTAACTCGCCTCCTTTAGTTGACAATCTTTCTTCCCTTTCTCTTTGCACCAACAATAATTGGGGAAAATCTGGGTGGGGGAGTACATGAAAATGAGTAATGTAACCTACCCTGTAACCAAACCAAACCAAACCAAACCAAACCAAACCAAACCAAACCTAACCTAACCTAATCTAACCTAACCTAACCTAACCCAACCTAACCTTTGGGCCGAGCCATGTCCGAAGGTACAATACCTCAGTTAGAAGTCCAATCACATATTTACAAATTTTTGTTTTTATCTTCTTTACAACCCTCTTTGGCCAATTACAAAACCACTGATGCTTGTCCTTTCTAAATTTACAGTGAGGGCACTCGACAGACTTAGGGAAAACACCGTGATTACGTAGAAATTCTATAGCTTTATCGTTTTTTTCGTAAAGCTCAGCAATAAACTTAAAATAATCGTAGGAGCACGATTGACAGTCGACACCCAACCTCAACCACGGCCATTGTCACACTCATTGAATTTCCAAGCCGTAGATTTTCAAATCCTTACCCAGGCTGCTTTGAAAAATGAAAATGTGATTGGTAAAAAAAAATTCGTAGGCTGATATCGATACATCATTGGTCACGACTGGATGACGTCAGTCAATATTGTGCCTGCATGATCCACAACTAAATCAGTTTCACAGCGGTAACATCACCAGACAGGCGAAAACTGAAAAGTTCCTAAAATCAATTAAATTCAATTGTGTTGCTATTACCCATTTCCGCCATGTACAGGTCTTTATAGGGCTCAAAATGCTCAGAATAGGGAGATCTAAATGTTTAAGTAGTTTATAAATTTCGGGTGAGCTATGTCCTTAAGTAAAATAATACCAAGTTTTTATTTTTTATTTTTTTTAGGTTTTTACACTGTTTGACCTTCCACTTTTTTTCAGCATCTCAACTACTGTTCATTTCTGACGGCAATGAAAGTCATATTTGTATTTAACATGATGATTTACAGTATAAAAACCCATTTTCAAAAGTCAATTTGGTGGTGGCAAATACTAAATATTTACCCAAACAATTCTTGGCCCCCAAAATTCAGTTCCAAAGTCCTACAGACAAGTAAATTTGAAACTATGGATAGCCTTGTGCATCAAAAGAATACATACGCATGAACTTTAGCCTACTAAGTAGTTTGGTAAGAAAACTGCTGTAATTCATATTTTCTGAAACTGCATATAATCTGCACCACTCGCCCATTAAACAAAACACCTAAATTCCTTTGATCCACGTAAATCGCCACACCGACAAAAAATACACCCTTGATCCTGGGAATAACACCTGATTAACAACACACTCCCTGTTTTGTACACTTTCTTCATAACTACTACATGATATGTAGTTCATGTCATGATTATACAATAACTTAAAACTCTTCAACGCACCTGAATGAATGGACCTCAAGTCAGATGAGTAGTATCATCACCATATATATTAAGAAGTAATGAGACTCCAGCCACTTTTACTGAAGTCAACAGTATGACATAAAAGCGGTTGTATTAGTGAACAGTGTTCCCTTCCCACAGGTTCAGATGAAGAATTCCCTAGACTAAGGTTGAAAATAACCTAGATTGTATCAAAATTTCCCAAATCCATTTTCCATATATATATATATATATATATATATATATATATATATATATATATATATATATATATATATATATATATATATATATATATATATATATATATATATATATATATATGTTTAAAATGAACGTTTTATTGTGGTATTTTAATATTTTTGTGGTTTTATTGTTTTATCATTATTATTTAATATTTGGTAAATGTATTTGTGGCAGATACAAAATATAATTATTGTTTTGGTTTTTCTGACAAGAGAAAACACTCCACTAACATTTCGAGTATTTATCGGTACTTAATCTAAGGTATAGAATACATCAAAACATAAATGTATTCCAAATTAACTACTAATTAAAAAAAAAGTAATTTTGATTCCAACACCTTATTTAGAGTTTATGATATTTTATGAGTTATGACTTGAGTATATTGTAGTGGCTCCTCTCCCCTACAACTCCCAACTACTCCGGCCGCGCGCCTACCAGCCAATCAGCGTACAGCAGACAAGACAAAAAAGCTAGTGACAGGGGGGAAAGAGGTTCAGGGGAAGGATAAAGGGAGGATAGAAGTGAATTTTAGAAGGAGAGAACAGGTGCAGTGGCTACACACCGCTTGCGTGAGGGAGTATAAGTTGGATTGATTGATTGATACGTTTATTGAGATACAAAAATCATTTATACATCTCAAAGGGATGAAGTGACATAAGTCATCCCAACCCCAGTCCAGGAATGTCCCTCTCAGGACTCACATAAATCCCTAATATTTCATATAATCAGTTATAGTACATAGTTATATTCTAGATGCAAAATTTCTATATTTCTTTAATATTTCATCTATTTTCCTATTTTTAAACATCCACTCTATTTGCTTGGGGACATTATTTATATGGGCATTCCTATATACATTAAGCAATGGGCATTCCAGTATATAATGTGGCAGGGTATGGGATCTGGATGTTCTACAAACTCTACATTCTTTATCCTGTTCACTTCTCTCAGTTCCAAGTTCCCAATAATATTTATATCCTAATCTTAACCTCATATACACTGAATCTTTCCACCTACTCCCATCTTTCCCATATGTAAATTTTGTGTTCATGAGAACATGATGGTAATGTTTCATTGTTTCACTTTTTCTCGTATATTTCATTCCTTTGAAATTATCTTCTATTGAT